AGAGGGGGGGGGGGGGCCGGCCGTGCCCGACCGCCCGCCACAGCAGCAGCAGCCACAGGCCAATGGAAATGCCCAGAGACCAGGTAAAACCTGCACGATCAGTTGACTTTACCTACATTATAACCATATCTTAGGGCCTGTCGAAATATTTGCTATTTGCTATTTAATATATAAGTTTATTTATATATACTTAAGGCCCGTTTTTAATTCCGTAGGTTAATCAGATTAGCATGAAGCATGTTTTTGTTGTATACTTCTGTTGTATATGTCTATGTCTACTGTATATGTGCAGCCACAACTGCAGCATCGGTCATAGCAGAACTAACTCGTTATTAATGGAAGACAAAAGACAATAGAATTGTCCAAAAATAAACTTTTGTATCAGATAATTGTTCTGTAGCGTATTTGGTCTCCATCATTCTTTATTATGATGATTACTGGTGAGAATATTTTGCATGTTTTTATTCACGTATAAACAAAGTGTGAATGTTCCTCATTTTCCTTAGAGTTACTTTCAAAACTAGCCGAACTCTTCCAGATAACTGTGGCCATATCTTATACGCAGTTTGCTATTGCTACTATAAATTTTGTCTTATCGAATTATTATTTTTTATTTCATATAATTTTTTCTCCTCACCAGGTCGAGAATATAGTATTCCTTCACTTCTCCAAAGACTCATGGCAGAGATGGTGGATTTCTTTATTTTATTTTTCATCAAGGCAACTATAATCATCAGTATTATGCACCTCAGTGGTATCAAGTGAGTGTGTGTGTTTTTTTTCTTCCAACTATTTAAACAAACCTGAATTTAAAACTGGGACATGCGAACATGACGATGTTCTTTTCAGGGATGTTTCCAAGTTTGCCATGCATTTCATTGTGGAGGAAATAGACGAGGACACGTCAATGGAAGAGCTACAGAAGATGATGCTTGTTGCACTTGTGTACCGTATGTTAGTATGTTTCTATGAGGTGAGCACTGGTTTACTCATGATCTGTGTGATGTAATTGTCCTGTGGTTGAAAACTCTTAGTGAAATACTTTTTTTTTGTCTGTTCTTTTAGGTCATCTGTATCTGGGGAGCTGGTGGTGCCACACCAGGGAAGTTTCTGATTGGACTCAGAGTTGTAACATGTGACTCCTCAGTTCTGATTCAGCCTAACAGGGTGCTTGTAGTGCCTGCAACGAATGTCTCTCTATCTGCGTGAGTACAACATTAAAAAAAGCATTGCTTAGGGCTGCGGCTGTCGAAATTGACAATTTACACATACTTCAGTGATTGGCATGCGTTTGGGGGTTTTCAACTTGTGGTCACATGACCAGTTTGCGTCAGATCAGCCTCACTGAGTGCATGGCAGTAAGGTAGTCTACAGCTGACAAGCCGACTGACACAAATGTGAAACGGATTGTGCAGAGCTGTACGGCGTTCTTTTAGCCGCCGTCAAGGTGCACAGTAATGACAAAAAACCCACTTTATAAAGCAAAACTTTGAGTTATCGTTTTGTTGATTATTAAAGAAAATCTTCCATCTGAATAATTCCATCCTTTGATTTAGTCACAATTAAATAAGTGACACAAAATCTTAATGTTCTGTTACATTAAGAGGTATTTGTTTATCATGATTAATCATGAGCTACTCTGTGATTAATCAGATCAAAATTTGAATCGTTCCTTTTTTTTAAAATATAACCAACCAGAATATTGAGCGGTAACTGATCCATTTGTGTCCCTTAACAGGTCCACTGTCCGGGCCTTGAACAAGAACTTCTCGATCGCCTTCTTTTTCCCGGCCTTCATCACACTTCTGTTCTTTCAGCACAACAGAACTGTGTACGACATGGTGGCTGGGACAATTGTTGTCAAACGGTCCAGAGCCAGATGACGCTGAGAGTCGTGACAAATCCGCTGAGCGTGCACTGTTTTAAAGTGTTTTGATAAATGCCAGCAGAACTCCTCAGTTTCAAGGAATCGTCTGAAGATTCGTTCATATCAGTATGGACGTCTTCAACCTCTCCCCGGACTTCAACCTTTGTCTGTCTCACATGAAGTATTTATGCATGTAATTGGACATGCCACTATCAAGAGCAGGCCCTGTGCCAAACCCTTGGCTCTGTTTAAGACGGGATAAGTAATTATACATTTTACCTTTAATTATTAGCTAATAATTATTCACATTTGTTTTCTAAAATAAGGGTTAATGTCTTGGTTTGTTGCTGTTTAAGTTGCAGTATATCCTCCATTTAATATAGACTTGTATGCAGACAGGTTTAATTATATGAAAAGGAAACACAAACTTGAGCTCCGTCGTATTTTAGCTCCTGACACCTGCGCTGTAAGATTAATTTATTTGGTTTTACTTTACTATTTTCTTTTGAAAAGAATAAACAAAAACACAGATGACCTGCATGTTTGACATGTCAGTCTTTTACATATTTCATAAAAAATGTAGGATTTTTTATATATATAAAGAAAGAGTTAGGCTTTACTAAAATTTAAGATTACTGTTAAAATCCTACCAGTCTTTCAGTCAGTAATTGTTTACCTCTTGACTGTAGAGTTACAGTTTTCTCTGGGATGGCCAGCTTCCTCCCACAGTCCAAAAACATGGAGATTATTGAAATATCCAGGGTGAAGCTGCCTCACCCACTGACTGCTGGGACACGCTCCAGTACCTGCTGCTCTGAACAGGATAAAGTGATTGAAAATCGATGGATGGATAGATGAAAGATGGTCGGAGATTAGGACATAACCTCGCTCTCTGTTTATTGTTCCTCTGAAGGTAAACATTTACCACAGTCTGAGATACTTTGTACTCTCCACGACTTCTGGAGTATCTTTTATTTATCTGTCTTTGAAGGTTGTTATATTTCTTTGCAAAAAAAAAAGGTTAATGAAAAAGAACTTTGGCTCCATCTAGTGTGTAATTTTTACTTTTTGTTTTTTCAGTATTTAATACAAATACATTTGTGTTCATAAATACATATATAGGTAAACAAATATATGCATATATATGTGTACTTACATACATGTGTATATTTGTATGTATATACATGTGTACATATAAATGTGTGTATATACAGTATATATATATTTATATATAATATATATTTATCCTCCTCCTTCCTTATATATTAACATATATGTATGTGTGTGTGCGTGTGTGTGTGTACCAATTTAACTCTGATTTGAATGCTTAAGGAGTGAATGGAAACCCCAGTTGCTTGCAAGTGTTGACACTGTGCTTGCTGCTCAGCTGACAGCCACAGATGGCACTCTGAGATTACAGCCACACACACACACACACACACACACAATGCTTGCATGCCAGTACTGCGGGCAATGGCAGAAAATAAATCGTATTCGGGGCAAGTTTCCTCACCCACGACAGTGCTGTACTGTGTACTAATGAGTGAATAAAACCCACTCATTCACAGAACAGTTTTACTACACAATGGAGCAGTATTTAATAACCCTCTCAGCCTGGAGAGGTTAATGATACAATAATACGCTGTTTAAATCAAAATGACTGAAAACTAGCTGCTGGGCTAATATATACAAACTTTAGTAATTAATGTGCTGTTAATATTTATTGTGGGAGGTGTCGTATGTTACCATGTAGTATTAAGAAGGGTCTTAATACCATATGGGTCCAGCTTAAAAAAACATGTTACCTGAAACATTCTTTGTAACTTATAGCCATGATGCTGATCATATAGCAGCAGCAGGATGCTGGTGTTTTGACGTTCTGATGTAGCGTGGAGTGTTTCTGTGTTGTTGCTTTGTCCCAGTGTGTCTGTGTTGGTCGGCCGTCCTCAGTCAGAGACAGTAATTACAGACTGGACGGCTTTTGTCTGCTTCATGAAAAGGAGACCTGATGAGTTGGGGAGGTGATGTTTGTGTCCTTCAATACCAGGTATTACATAAAACCATTTTACTATGGCACCACTGAGGGGCGGGGTGGGGCGGGGGGGGGGAGGCAGTAACTGCTCTTTCACCATTTTGTGACTGACATCGTTTTTCTTAATAATCACCCCACACACATTTGTCGACAACAACAACCGTAGTTACAACAATGTTAATCATTTCAACAGTATTGATAATTAGTGTGATTAATTAATTAATAAATACTGTCGACATTACTATACACAAGTACATACTAATTGAACTGCGATGTAAATATTTCTAGTTCTGATATTTTTTCCTAGTTCTAAGATGCAGTGAGGCAGTAGCTGATATACTGCCCCCTGCTGCTCAAGTGTGGTAATTCACCCATGTTGGAAAGCTCAGGCTGACTGGGGTCAGTGAGGTCGTTTCAGTCACGGTTGGTTTCCCTGCTGTAGTTTCCAAATCAGGCATTAGAACAAAAGAAAAGCCATGTGTGTACACACACACACACACACACACACACAGAGTGTGTGACCCTCTGCTTCGAGAACAGATCTTATTACTAAGGAAGTTCTCGTCCACATTTGTCTTTCCTGCAAAACGCCCACCCAGCTCTGAGCAGCATGTGGTGAAACTGTGACTAAAAGCCAAGTGCGACTTTGGCTTCTGACCTCACGGCTCAGATTTGAACACAGTTTGGTGTCTTCCTGAATCCTTTGGTTTCTTTATTTGAATCCTCGCCAGTTTCTCCACCAGTTTTTCCTCCTCCACACTTCTCCTCCACCCAGTCCTTCTCTTACCCGTACTATGTTCTGAATATGTGCGTAAGCAGTGCCTGGCTATTTTCAGCTGAATGAAAAAGAATGTCTTGGCACACAGTCTCAGGATGAGATTTGTTTGGTTGAAGTGAGTTTCACTTCCACCAAATGTGCAGTATGTACATGAAACAGAGCTAAATTATTCATCTTGACCACATTCTGCCTGAAGTCAAATCTCAGGAATCTGTAATCGTCGGTGGTACTGATGCACCGAGTGAGACGTTGCTGCTGCTCGCTGAGACGAGATCTGCAGAACACAGACAGTTACAGTTGTTTTGACTGACAGGGCTGGTTGTCAAATGCTTTCAAACCAAGCAGTCACAGCCAGAGACGTGAATCACTCTGATCTTTAAAATAATTAGCAAGAAAAAAAAGGATCCTCCGGAGCCTGAGTTGACATTTAATCTTTGACATTTACACCAACGCTCGCTTCAAGGTCACGTTAAACCTTAGGCTACTCTTCAGACATAAAAAAACTCAGAATTTCGGGATGACTTTAAAATATATGAAAATTAGCAGATAACAAATTGTCTCTCTCTCACCCTCTCTCTCTCTGCGGTGCATGCACCTGGACCAGCGACGTTAGCGTCACCTGTTGGCCTGAGCTGCAGTCCGCCTGCTCTTTCATTAACTGCTGCATTCACTGCCTTTCAATAGGCTCTTTCAGTGTGTCATGCTACACCACCATTGAGCTACAGCCACGTTGCCACCCATCTTTCTTAATGGGGACTAGAGACTGTGGAGCTGCCTTGTTGCCATGGCAGCAGGCACTTTCACATTCTCCCCACACAGTGTGGAGTGTCCATGTTGGAGCGCGCCACGGTGCAGACAGGTCCGCTCTCAGACCGGACCGAACTGGGATTATCCAACGTGTCTACCCTGATACCACCCTGTAATCCCAGCACCCGTACTTCCTGCCGCCTCCCGCTTCACTCACGCTCACTCCCAGCGCTGCTCCCACGTACTGAACTGTACTTGAACGTGTACTATTTTTTTATTATTTCTTGAAATGTTGCGAGGCCACACGAGGCTCAGGAGGTTAAGACGGTTTCATGCCAAGTTTCTGAAAATCCAGAGTTGACAGATCATTATTCCCTCCAAGTGAAGCCACTGCTGAAGAAAACAGAAACTTGATGGATGAGCTTACTGTTTGTTGGGTTAGTTCACCAGGGGGCGATGTACAAAAAAGATCCGGTTCCTGAAACGCACCATTACCTAAGATGACTCGGTGCTGCAGTTTTGTTTGTGTTCACATGTGTAGTACTCATCAGGAACTGTTTTTACAGGTGTTGAAATTAAATGACATCATTTAATGTTGTTCAGTTATTTATTATTATTTAACTTCATACAACTGTAAATGTGCAGTGCAGCTGTGACCTGATTTCTGCTCTCTGGTCGTTTTGTGCACTCACCTGGAATATGCAGGAAGAGACATGAGCCATTATGACATTAATTAACCAGCTGTATCCACCTCCATTTATCAAAATAAATCCAGGAAGCTGAACGTTAAACTACGGAATCTTTTTTTTATGTAACACAGTAGGACATGTTAAGTCAAGTCATTTAGAATGGACAATTAAAAAAGGGTTAAGATGTAGTGCAGGAATCACCTGGACTGAGCTTGTACAGTACCTCAAGGGTTGTTGGTTTGAATCCTGGTCCGGAACTGTGATGTTTTGAGCAAGCACCAAAACTCCAAAGTTGTGTAGCCCACTACTCAAAAAATATTGATGATATATACAAATATTACTGCTATTACTGTTTTGTAAATACTACTTTGCTTTGCTGTATTTCTCTTTGTTGTTTTCTCTCTGCCTGGAACTGATCCTTGCCTTGTTCCAAGAATGAATGTGAATGCTGAGTGTGGTCCAGTGTTTTACTGTGCCTATGACAGATATAGTACCTGGAACCTAAGCTTTGAATTATGGCCATCGCTGGACTATTTATAGGAGTATTATAAACCTGAGATCTGCAGCTTAGAGCTTCTGGACTTTGTTTCCTGTTTACATGAAGTTCTGCATGGAGTTGGGCTGTTACCTGGAACAGGGAGTTTGTAGTGAGCGCAATGATGAGATCCACCAGGAACAGTGATTATTATGGTCTGTTAAAACCTGACTGTGTTCTGCAGCTGTTCCACTTCTCTGTGTGTTTGTCTGGGACTCCTCCTTCTGTCTTTCTCTACCTCAGATTGTCTTTGAAATGATGAACTAACAGATCCAAACTGTGTCATTGAGACTTCAGTCTACGTTCAGAAAGATGTCTTCTTCTCCAACCAACTCCTCCAGTTCACCCAAACCATCAGACCAGTAAAGCAGCTTGACTAAAACTGACCCTTAAATGCAAACGGTAGCTGCTGTGTTAGTGTTTTATTACCTGGAATGAAATTAAAACAATAAATTTGGCCAGTGCGCACACCTGCACACCTCTCTATGGCTTTTTAACAATTTACAAGAAACTTTTGAAACAGGCCGTAAAGCTTTTTGATACTCACAGAGCAGCAGGTTGTAAAAGAAACCCAAAGGTAATCCTGTGTAAAATATGCACCGACTGAAATTCCAATATAAAAATCTGCTGGGTGTTAGCGTTAAAGAACGGCTTCTATTATTGAACACGTTTGATGAGTAATTTCATCTTTAACCTGGCAGTAAAGCAGTCTTCAGTCACAAATTGTGAAAATGCTTTCATGAGAATAAATTGAAATTAAAACGACAGTTTCTATCACCTAAGAAGTAAAAAATAAATAAATACATAAAAGAAGAATTTCTATCCTCTTGTGTCTTCATCACAGCTTTACTCTGCATAGTTCTTGAACCTCAGACCTTCTACATGGCAGGCAGGAATCCCATTCCACTTCCCAATAATGTCCCCACCTTCCCTGACAGTATATAAACCAAACAACTCATTGTCGTTGAGTTCAGGCGTGTTTAACCACATTATGTAACTTCACCACAAGATGGTGTTAAATCCCATATTTTGTACGTTAACGCACTTGTGCGTGAATTTCGTTTAGACAAATATGTGCGTAATTATTCTTATGTAGCGATATTTTTTGTATTGTTTTTAAGTATTGAAGTACTTAATCACTACAAGCCAGTTACACGGTCACGTGTAACTAGTACTCCTAAAAATATCTCTGACACAGGAAGTGTTTGAAAAATGATGGAGTTCAACAACGACCACTTTTCCACTGTGTGGGAAGAAACTGGCAATTGTTGAGTGTTTGCATCATCACACCTCCCCCCCCCCAACACACACACACACACACACGCACACACACACATCAGCTCATGTCTGCAGCGTTAGTGGAGACGCACTCTGCTCCAGTACACGTATAGTGAGGATGTTGAGCTGAACTTCGGTGCTGATTCTCGGACTTTTACTCCGCCGTGAAGAACCTGGCAGTTCTGAGGAACTTTAGATAATTCATGTCATCACAGCTGTGTGACGTCACTGTCAGAGGACTTCTGGTCTAACTTTTGGTTCCGTGTAGTTCTCTGCAGACGGCTACTGCGTACGAGTAGTAGTAAGTATTTCAAACAGTGGGTTAATGTAGGTGTACTGCAGTGTTGCTTTGTCGTCAGTGTGTTGCTGCAAGTACAGTACTTACTTTTACTACTTTTACAACTGCTGCTACAACGACTTTTTACTCGCTGTTATTTTGAAGTTATGTACACACGTGTGTATTTATTTTAGGTTACGTTCTATGAAGGTGTGTTAGCGTTCAGTGACTGTAGTTATTTAGTTGTAAAGTTAGTTGTTATTGTTGATAACCTAGCTTTATTGCACCATCCTGCTATATTATGACAGTGGAAATATTCTATTCATTCCGTCATGAATGTACGGTGGCCCTGAAGGTCAAAACACATTTCTGTAATGTCGCGCTTTGTGAAATCCTGTGTCTTGACCTCCAGGGCCACGGTAGGAATGTTACTGATTGCATGAAGAATGTAATGAATGTGTGTGTGTGTGTGAGCTCGCGAAGTAAAAACAAAAATACATAATAGTTTTAACCACTTTGCCAGTTTGTCTATAATAATAATAAAAACATAACATAACAACAAAGTAATAAATAAAAGATAAAATAAATATAAAATATCATAAAAAACTGAACATTTACTGGTCAATTTCAAGGTATTTTTTTCAAGTAATTTCAGTAAAAAAGGAACAAATTGTGGCCACGGTTGATCAGATCCATGGAACTGTGGCTGCGTTTGTGAATTATCACCAAATCCCTGATTCCAACTCTTTTCTCTGACATCGTTTCCAACCCTCAACTCACTCACAGTGAGCAATACCAAACCAAGAAAACAAAAACCCTGATACCCCCTCCTTCCAGCCCCCCCTTCTGCTTTTCATAATAGATGTTCAGTCACATCACCCCCCCCCCCCTCCTCTGTTTGAGGAAATTTGAGGCCCTGGGGGGTTTAGGGTTTGCTCCAGCCCGGCCTGGCAGTGTTTTTTGAAGAAATATGAGTTAAAGTCGGCAGATGAGGCAGTCGCCCCGTGGCAACAGAGACGCATCAATTCAACGTGGTGGCAGAGGGTTTGTGTTTGTGTTTGTGTGTTATCTACAGTAGATCACACATGCACAAGATTTATGTCCATGTCCTTCAGCGTGCTCCAGTTTACAGCAAACAGGAGTGGGTACACAGGAGATGTAGTGAGAGGTAAAGGGTGAGGGTGGGGGGCGGGGGGGGGGGTGGGGGGGGGGGGGTTGCGTTGGGTGAGGAAGGAAACAGTGTGTCAGGGCAGGGAGGGTGGATACATGGGTTATCAGCTCCTGCCTGCACTAAGGGAAATATCTCCAGGGAAGAGATGGGGTTGGCCTGGGGATACCTTGTGTGTGTGCGTGTGTGTGCATTTTTATATGTGTGTTTGTTAAAAAGCAAGGACTAATTGTAGGGCATCTCAGAGGGCAGATTAGGAGGAGACTCTCTGCAGGGCAGTGCATTAAAACAGCTTTGACTTTCCAATGCAGTCAACACTGTAATCCACAGCTGCTCTGCGTGTGTGTGTGTGTGTGTACACACGTCATCTGTGCATGTACAGTTTGTGTCATCGCTAGTGCCTCGGTTATTTGCATTCATGCAGTATGGCTGTCTGAGCACACACTCTGTGATTCTCCACTGCTCCCTCCCTCCCTCCCTCACCCACAGTCTGTTGCTCCCTCCCCCTCCTTTCCTCTCTGAGTGAGCGTAGTCTGGGCGCTGGGCCAACTAGAGTGCGTTTTTTTGAATGAATACCTGATGCGGCTGATGAGGCTGGCTGGGGGAGGAGCTGTGTCAGTGGAGTACTGAGAGAGAGAGAGAAAGAAAGAGGAGGGAGGTAGAGAAGGAAGGGGAGAGACTGTAATACAGAGAGAAGGAGAGGGAAGCAGTCAGGCAGATAGGGAGCTGGCGGTCTGGTGGCCTTGCATAACACACACACACACACACACACACACACACTGAAGCAGCCTTTGCCACACAGGACTCGCTACAAGCTTTGGCAGTGGGGGACTTCCTTTGCCAGCGGCCTGAGGGGGCAGCGTAGCCTCCAAACGGAGCGGACAGCAGAGGAGGAGCAGCGTCAACACAAGCTCCAGGAGAGAAGGAAGGCACAAAGGAGAGATTCAGGACGAGCAGTTTCAAGGAAATCTCATCTCTCTCTCTCACACACACACACACACAGATACATACAAACACGCACTCAGAGGCAGGAAGAGTCCATGGACATGCTCTGCAAGCAGTGGCTGTGGAGAGACTGGTGAGCTATTCTTAGTACTTTAACCAGAGGGGCGGAGGGTGGGTTGTTTCTTTTCCTCTTGATTTGTGGCATAGTAGTATTTTCTGCCCTACTACTACTCTCATGCACTCTCACTGTCATTCCTGGAGCCCCTGGAGGCTACAGTCACTGCATCTGCCCAGAGTCACTGTGGTGTCAGTGGAGTTTGGACGTGGAGCCGGGCTCCTCCGTGTGTCGGCCACCGCTGCTGCTGTGCTGTGAGATTGAAGTGTGTCTGGGAGAACTCTGTAGTCATTGTAAAAGACCAGCAGCTTGAGCCTCACTGCCTGTTCTTAGTGTCTGCTCCAGTCTGCCACACGGTGGGTCCGCCTCTTAAAGGTACAGCGCACTGTTGTGCAGCGAAGGGGCAGTAAACATTTTGTGTAAGAATGAAGCGGTCCACTGTATTGATCTGCTGTGTGGTCCGAGCCAGCTGTGTTCTTTACGCTGCGGTGCACTTCAAACGCAGTGAATTTCCCGTGATATTGTGTGTGTTTTCTTTTCCACAGCACCTCCCCTGGTGAGAGTGCAGATTGATTATGATGTGATTGTTTTCTATATATAGACCTTCGGTGTACATGGGGGCTTCACTGTGGTCTCGTAAAACATGATACGTATCAGTGGTGACAGCAGCTCAGCAGCCTCAGGTTCCAGCACTGATGATGAGACGTTTGAAGACATTTGTCTCTGAATAACGTCACTGCTGTTCCTCAGCTCTGCTGCCCAGCATCCTCCTGCTGCAGAGAAATGTTATTACTATGAAGCTGTGGATCAATGAGGGCTGTATATAGTGGTCTGGGCTGCAGGAGAGAAGACCCTATCAGGCGGCGGCGGCGGCGGTGATAGGTGACTGGAGAGGCTGACGACTTTTTGGTGCAAATAAAGGGATGCTGAGTGACTCTGCTCCTCAGCTCTCACCTGGAGACAACGGAGCGGCGGCGGCGGCTGAAACACAAAAAAAAAACATTATCTGTGACGAGCAGACGTACGCAGCTACGCCGGCCTATTTCTGTGGCTTGTGCGGCTCGGTGTGTGGGAGTGTGAGAGAGGATCACTCTGCCAGGCTGACTCTTTCACTCTGTCTCAGCTGAAAAGCATCAGTGTGTTGAAAGACACAGTGAGTGTCCAGCCCCCCCCCCCCCCCCCCCCCCACCCACTCCCTGTTGTCATCCATTTAAACATGTGTTAGAGGTGACGGTCCCAGAGCCAGGTGACTGAGTCTGAGATCCTGTAGTGACAGGCATGACTAGAAGGCTTCCCTTTGTTCTCCATAGTGTCACGCAGGCAGTATGTTTGTTGGTGTCACTGCTCTAATAATAGACCGAGGCTGGAAAATCTACTGAGGCTTTTAGCTGCACTGTGCGAGTGTGTGAGGGACGTGCACACTGCTCCATACAGGTTAAATGAGGTAATCAGATACACCTTATTCAAAACTGTTCTAGAGAACTGAATGCAATAGTGTGTGTGTGAGTGAGTGCATGTGTGTGTGTGTGCGTGGAAATCAGAGCGTACAGGCTTTGTCTTCCAATGCAGCTGTAATCAGAGGAGGTACTTGTGCCTCAGATGTGATGTCACCGTTGTGTTGATATGGTGTTGCTGAGGTGGGGTTGTTGCCATTAAGCGATGCAGGCTGTAGCCACGGCAGTGCTGCTGATTGGGGAACTCTCAGTGAGGCGGGGGCTACGGCACGCTGGTGCTGCGGGTGCAGCTCAATGTGGGTCAGGAGAAGCAGTGCTCCGTGTTGTGCACGCTCTTTTCCATTCCTAATCTCCCTGCTAACCCCCTCCCACCGCACTCTTTTACTCCCTTTTTTCCTTCAACACAGTTCTGTCATCCTAAACTCCCCCTCTGCTCCACCACTCCCCTCCCTCTTCTCCTCTCATCCCTCTCTCTGTTTTTCATGCAACGCCGTTTTCCCTCCTTTGTTGCATCCTTGGCGGCTCGTTCAGGACGAAGTGCGTGCCCCGAGGTTTGCGCTGCATTCGGATGCCGTGACCTTGCCGATGCATTGTTAGATATAGATGCACCTAGGCAGAAGCTGACCAAGGTCACCTTCG